CAGGCAACCACAGATCTGCTTTTCCTTACTATAGATTTGTTTGCATTTTCCAGAATTCTACTAAACGGAAACATACAATACACATTCTTTTTTGTACTCTTTCACTCAGCATAATTATTTTGTGATTCATTGAAATACACATGAAAAGTCCATTTCTTTTCCTGCGGGGGAGTAGTCCATTGTATGGATATACCAGAATTTGTTTATCCATTCACATGTTGATGACATTGGGTTGTTTCATAAATATTCTATGAACCTTCATGTACTAGTCTTTGTGTAAACATATGATTTCATTTCTCTTGTTATTGTTTGGTTGGTTTTTGTTTTAGAAAGTGCCAAGCTGTTTTCCAAACTGGTTGAGAGTTCCATTTGCTACACATTCTTGCCAACATTTGATATGGTCATTCCTTTCCGTTTAAATTTAGATATTCTAATAGGTGTGTGGTTTTAACTTGTATTTTCCTAATGACTAGTGATGGTTTAGACTTCATTAATTATCCTTAGTGACTAATGATAGTTTAGTTTTCAACTAAAGATAGTTGAAAATCTTTTCATGTGCTTATTTGCCATCTGTATATCTTCTTTGCCAAAGTGTCTGTTCAAATCTTTTGCTAATTTTTTTTACTGTGTTTTTTGTTTTCCTATTATTGAGTTTTAAAAGGTCTTTATTCTGGACACATTTCCTTTATTAGACATATGAATACAAATATTTTCTCCTAGTTTGTGGCTTGCCTTTTCTTTCTCTTAACAGTGTCTTTCAAAGACCACAAATCTTTTATTTTGATAAAGTCTAACGTATCTTTTGTTTTTCGGTAGTATCTTATCTAAAAAAAACCTTTGCCAACCCAAGATTGCAAAGGTTTTTCTCATATTTTTTCTTTTAGAAGTTTAATAGATTTAGGTTTTACCTTTAGGTCTATGATCTATTTTGAGTTAATTTTTGGATATGATGTGAGGTATGGACTGATGTTCAGTTTTTTTCCATGTGAATATTCAATTGTTCCAGCATCGTTTGTTGAAAAGACCATATTCTCGTCACCGAATTACATTTATACCCTATTCAAAAATCAGTTGTTCTTGTGTGTGGATCTATTTATGGATTCTCTCTTCTGTTTCATTGATCTATTTTTGTATATTGATGCCAATATCACACTGTCCTGGTTACTGTAGCTTTGTGATGAGTCTTGAAATCAGATGGTGTTAATCCTCTAACTTTGCTCTTCTGGAAGACTTCCTTCCCTCTCATCAGAAAACAAAGCTAGAGTGGGTGTGGAGAGTTCTGGTTCTTGTTCTTTGCCTGGTCAGGGACTTGAGAGAATCTCTAAAAGCAGCTGTCCTCCATCCTCGGCCATCTCTGCTTAGTTCCAGTGGCTGTCCTGGAGACACCTGAAACCCTAGGTCCCAATCAGTTTGCATCAAGTGACCATGTCTTGTCCTGCTCCTTGAGAGCAGGAACCAGTGCCCAAGGAAAAGATCAAGTGACCATGTCTTGTCCTGCTCCTTGAGAGCAGGAACCAGTGCCCAAGGAAAAGATGGTCCTTGGGATGCAGCAGTCACAGGGGAGGCCATGAGTCCCCTGGCATATGACTGCCCCTGGAAGCTCTGTGTTGGATTGTGATAAACTGACCCAATCATAATATCTTTTGGGGAGTAAGGATATGAAATGTAGACAGAGCTGGGGTTTGGGAGCAATGGATGGCCACTTGTGAAAGGAAGCTGGGCCACCTGGTTCAAAATTTCCACGGGGATCTTTTGAAAATGCAGATCCGGGCAGGTGACACCTCATCCTCCGGGCTCAACCTAAGGTCAGCAAGGCTTCCTCTAGAAGTGTTGGAGCCCCTGCTTTGTACTCTTCCTTTCCAAACACCCATGGTTTGGGTAAATAGTTCATCAATGTTGTCTTACTTTCCAGATGGGGAAGGGACCCTGTCTTTCTTGTTCAACTTCTAAATTTCTGGAGCTGAGCACTTGGCACATAGAAGATATTTAGTGAATGTATGAATGAGTGAAACAATGATGTAAGGTATCTAGCATAGCAAATTATACCTGGGAGATGTTCAAGGTATGGCTGATGGAAGGAAGAAAGGAAGGAAGGAAGAGTTCAGTACTCTGTAGCTTTGGGAACTCTGAGACTGAAAATAATGATATGGCCACAGAGATGCCACCCATTGCCCTCCATAAACTCCCATCCCTAATAGCTTTGAGTCTTAAACTTGGCTGTGCACCTCAATCACTTAGGGAGACTTAAGATAAAAATTCCCAGCTCCTACTTTTGGTCTACTGATAATTAGAACACCTGAGACTGGAGTAAATTTGGAAATCTGGATTAAAAACAAACAAACACCTAGGCTATTCTTAAGCAGCCCATCCTCGAAGGGCTTTTGAGAACTTCATATTTACAGTAACCAGGGTGTACATATTCCTTGTGAATTAATAGCTGTATGTGGCTAGAGACTTCCATATAGGACAGTGTGGAATTCCAGCCCTTCTCTCTCCTACAGCTGTGCTGTACAATACAGTAGCCACTTGGTACATGTTGCTATTTACACTTAAATCTAAATTAATTAAAATTAAAGTTAAAAATTCAGTTTTTCCTTTACACTAGCCACATTAGAAATGCTCAGTAGCCACATGTGGTTAGTGGCTGCCACACTGGACAACACAGATAGGCATATTTTCATCACCACTGAAAACTCTGTTGGGTAATGTTGTCCTGGAGGGAATTACTCCTCTCTCATTCACAGTCCACAGGCTTTGGTAGAATTGGTTCTTTCCACAGCTCCACGGATGAACGTGTGACCTACAACTCACCAGTCGTGGTATTACATGTGACTCAAGTCATAATCAGAACAAGTGTCGGGACTTTTGCTTAAATGACCATCAAAAGACATTCTTTCTTCTACTGATATAAAGTTGGGCGTGGAGCAGTCTAGGCTGGAACTGTTGGCAGCCACTTTGTTCTCATGTAGAACCAGAGAATGAAGGCAGCAGAGAGGGAAGCAGAGCTTAAAAAAAACGGGTCTTATGATACTTTTTGAATCTTTAGACAGAAGTTGAACTTGAAGAGAGAGTTTTCACTTCAGTGAGCCAAAAAAACTCCCTTTTTTTTTCTACTTGCAGCAAAAGGACAGTGATTAAATACACAGAATGACCATTGCAAATCACTTCCTCTCTACCCCTCAGTTTCCCCATCTGTAAAATAAAGAGGTTGAAATAATTAGTTCAGTTTAATTCTTCAAGCATATATTGCATGTCTTGCCAGCTGCCTGTGCTTAGTGCAGAATGATAATTTAGACCCAGCCCTTCTGGCGAGAGTATTAACCTAACTGTAATACACTCTGAGGATGGCTTATTATTGATACAGACAAAGTGCTCTGGGGCCACAAAGGATGTGCTTGACTTGGCCTTGGAGAAGACTTCATTGTGGAGGTAACATGGAGCCTGGATCTTGAAAAATGAGTAGGGTTTTTCCTTGCAGAAAAAATAGAAGAGGACATTTTAGTTAAAAAATGAACATGAGCAAACTTCCAAATTAAGAAAGCTCATGTTGTGTTTGGAAAAGGGTAGTTCATTCTGCCTAGAGCTTAAAATATAAGAGGGGAACGGATGGGCTACAGACTAGGAGAGGTTGGTGGGACCGATTACCATAGCTTCGAAAGCCATTCTGGGTTTTTGAGGCTTTCTCCTGCAGGAGAACTGGAAGCAGGAGGCTATGATGATCAGCCTTGCATTTGGTGAGATCACACGTGTGAGCGAGAAGGACAGACTGCTGATGGGGAGAGATGGGAGGTGGAGGGACCAGTTGGGAAGTTATCGCAGTTGTGGAGGTGAAAAATGAGGAGACTTAACCATGCATTCAGGACTAATTTGCAAAGTGTTATGAGCTGGATATACTGAACTGGCATAGGGTAGGTGCTCAAAAAATGTTTGTGGAATAACCATTGCTGAGTCATGAGGAGCATGTTGTGGGAGAGGATGGATTGATCATCTGAAGGTTATGAGTCGGGTGATGGGTGAAAGAGGGTAAAGAAGGGAGTTGGTGGAGGTGTCAAAGCCTAAAGAACAGCCAAATTAGGACACCAGTGACTTTTACAAGAGAGATTGTAGCAGAGTGGCCGGATTGGAAACTGAATTGCAGTGCATTGAGTAGTGAAGACAGCAAATGTAATGTCTTCTTTTTTTTTTTTTTGCGGTACGCGGGCCTCTCACTGTTGTGGCTTCTCCCACTTCAGAGCACAGGCTCCGGACGCGCAGGCTCAGCGGCCATGGCTCACGGGCCCAGCCGCTCCGCGGCATGTGGGATCTTCCCGGACCAGGGCACGAACCCGTGTTCCCTGCATCGGCAGGCGGACTCTCAACCACTGCACCACCAGGGAAGCCCTGTAATGTCTTCTTAAAGGAGATTAGGAGAAAAAAGAGAGAGAAAGCAGTAGCTGGGAGTGAGAAAAATGGAACAATGGACCTGTCGGTTGTCTTCCAAGCTTCTGTTCCCCCACTTCTTGCTTTCTGAGAGAACCCCAACTTTGTTAAGGCTTCCATCCTTCCCCGATGCAACCTTTTTGACTCAAAGTCTCAGGGATGGATACTGATTAATCTAAGCCAATCACAGTAATCTCATTCCTCTCTGCCATTGATAGGCTCAAGAACATAAGCTTAAGTCCATCAGTGCAAGGCATTCCCTTGACCACTGTTATTTATTGTCCAGGGATGGGCACTTGACTTTGTGGTCCAATCAGACTGATCAAGGAATGGCCATGCCTGCTACCAGCAACCATATAACCACCTTAAGAGAAGCCAGTCTGAGGACAGAGAGCTGAACTCTGATCTTAGTGATACCTGGAGACTGTCCTACATGCAGACCTCTCATTAATGTGAGATAATACATTTTATGATTGTTTCAACCATTTTAGTTGAGTTTTCTATAATGGTGCTGAAAGCATCAATGATGGATATCACCGGATTTTATTTTATTTTAGGGTTGGCAGAAACTCAACATAAAGGGAGAAATTTCAGAGAAAAGAAAGAAGTTAAAGACCGAAAACAGAGAAAGGAGAATTGATGGGAGAAGTGGGAATCGTTGTGCTCAGGACTGTTGGCGGAAGAGCTGGTTGGAAAGAAATAAGCAAACTTCTGCCTTATGTTACAGAAGGGAAAGAAGTATGAGATGATGAGCAAATTTGGAGGTGCAGGTGAGTTGACAGAAGGATCTGTAAGGACCCTTAGAACTTTACTGTCTGCAACTGCTTCCCCTCTAGTCAAGGAGGTGAGTGGCATCATTTGACAAAATCAAGCACACCTGGTGGTGTGTGCAGAGAAGAGAGGAATCACCTCCCCTTGGAGTAATCAGAGAGGCGTCTCCATAGGCGAGGAGGACTCTGAGTCAGTGCATATGGAGTTGGTGTAGAGGCCAGAGGGGTAGAGTGTCGGTGCTGTACTTTCATTTCTATTATCTCAGTTAAATGCCACATCCCTGAGAAACGTACTGAAGGGACCAGGAGAGACCAGTTTGGCTGCAGCAGGGAGCTCAAGATGGAGAAAGTCAGGTTGGGATCAGATCCTAGAGGGCCTTGTGTGCCAGGCTGGGATTATTAGCTTTAATGGGCTTTGATCAGTGTTTTTCACACTTGAGTGAATAAAAAACTTCTTGCTACTACCTAGTTTTGACTTAAAACTTATTAATATAATAGTACCTAAATATATACAGACATAAAACTAAGTGTACACTCCTTACGCGTATGTCTTTTATATGAATCGTGAAAGTAAGCCCAATTTACAAATGAACTACAAAAAGGCGTAAAACCAATAAAATTCCACATTAAGTTAGTGAACTAGATAATGATGTTTGCTGAAACTAAATTGCCGCTCACAAGGCAAATATGAAATTGACTGTTACTGAGAGTGATGTGCTGATAAATTGGCTTCCACAAGAAAAGAAAGCCTGTTTCATGGTGTTTGCTGATTTCCATGGTGTAAATATTCTTACTCTGGATGCCATCATAATCATTGTGTTTAACAACTGGCTCACAAAATACCTGAAAATTTAACAATTGGCTCTCGTGAGCCACAACAGGCTGGTTCCAGCACACCGTTGCTCTCTAGGTTCTTTTGAACTCACGTGCCTACTTTTCTTTTTGTGCTGTAATAACTCAGTCGCTCCATCCCTTTCCTATTCTAATTCCTACGAACGCCGTGTTTGTTCAGGCCCAGTGAATTAACACAAGTTGATCTTTACTTAGATGAATGTATCATTTACATATTAAATTAGTCATTATTCTTTTTCTTCAACCCAAGACAAAATGCAAGTATTCCTCACAGTCCAAATCTATTCAGTTTCAAAATCCACATAGTGAGATTTTATATAGTAAGTGATGCTGAATTATCCAAAGCTCTTTGGTTTCTGAGTTTTGGATAAGAAATACCAAGGGTTCAGATAGCAAAGGATATTAACCCCATTCTTAAAATTTTGGATTTTATTCAATTCCTGAGTTCAAATGGCAAGTATTTGGGTAGCAAAGGATACCTGTACTATTTGGTACCAAAAAATTGTTGATTAATATAAACGTGAGAACTAAACTATCATGACAGTATTCACTTATATAAGGTGGACGACCCAGGATATGCTTACATTAATTCTTAGATAATCATGGAAGTTAAAGCACAAATTTAAGAATTTGTGTTCGATGGGAATGCTTGTAGCTGCAGGTAATCGAGAACCAAAAGTGGCGTAAACCATGGATATTTATGGCTTACTTATTAAGAAGTCCTAATGCAGACAGACTTCAGATTGGTCTGCAATCTCAAAATGACACCAAACATCCAGGTTCTTCTACCTTTACCATCCAAGAATGTTGGCTTTTTAGCCTGATGTGTGTTGCATCAAGGTCATGAAATAGATGCTGTGGTCATTCACGTCCAAGATAATCAGGAAGAGGCAGCTCCAGACCCATCTATCTCTGATGAAGAAAGTTAGTTTCTCTAAGATCCCTCTAGCAGTTCACCCATCTCAACAGCCAAAACTTGATCACATGGCCACCTCTAGCTGCCAGAGAAACTGGGAAACATAGTGCCTGGCTTTCCAGACTCTGTAGTGGAAGGCAGCAAGGGGATCATAGGGGAGGCATGGGAATGACTTTGGCATGCCAGTGAAGACAATCTCAGTGAAATTTGTAGGACCTTTATTTGTATGTCTGTGGAATACTCAGCACCCGGGGACCCAAGCTTGGGGACTTGTACCACACGACTACTCACAGTTCCAGTCACTGGTGTTTTGGGAGCATTTGTACAGGACATAGAGTAGATGCTCTGGGGGAGGGGATGACCAGGGAAGGGGACACACACACACGCACACACAGCCTCTGCCTTTGAAGGACTTAGCGGGGGGGTTACTAACACATCACTGTGTGGGGCTAAAGGTTTTAGGGGTGTCTGGATTCTTCATGGAAAACTTCCTTGTCTGTGTGTAGTTTTCTGTCTTTGAATCATGAGGATTGACCACTGAAGACAGCACAGAAGGGGTTCCAGGGGCTCAATTTCACTGGAATAAGAAATTCCGATGATGAGCCCAAATCATCTGTCAGAGGTCAAATGTCCCACGTTGGAGAGCCAGCTGGAGGCCACAGAGCCGCAGGCCTGTGGTAGACTCTCCTGAGGCATGGGGTTGGCCGGGAGATAAAGGAGCTCTGGGGGCGCTCTGGGTACCCTGGTCCCTTGCACTTAGGGGCAATGGAAGTCCCATTGGCCTGGGGGTTAGGAGACTCTTGTTCTAGAAGAAGTCCCAGGTGAGTCCTTTCCCCTTATTGGATCTGAGTGACCTTGCACAGGGGCTGACACACAATTGGTGCTCAGTAATGCTGGCACAAGCTCACTGATCTGTAAACTCACACCTGTAATGCTCATCTCCTAGATTTTTGGTAGAATGCTATATATGGAAATAAGTTTAGAATTTAAAAGCACTATAGAATCTCAAGGTATTTTCACAGTTATAACAGGGGAAGAAGGAAGAAAGAACTTGTCCTGGGCGGTGGAGGGGGGGGGGCGGGTCTTCTGTGGGCCTGGCACCAGGCCAGACATTGTCACATAGCCTCTCTCTGAATTCTTACGGCAGTAATCCCAGCTCAGGAATATTATTCCTATCCTTGTAGCTGGGTTCACTGGGCCTCAGAGAGGTAAAATAACTCTCCCCAAGTCTCATACCCTATGAGAGGCAGAGCTGGGGTTTTGGAAATTCTGACTAAGAGCCTGGCCTCAGGAGAGAGAGGATAGAGATTTCAGGGAGAGTTAACACCAAGAAGGGACACCAAGAACTCAGAAGCTGGGGGAGGCTAAGAAGGAGCTGGATAGGCCCCAGAAAAGTGTGGGGACTGGTTATAATTAACTGAGATGGATGCAAACACTGAACATGTTCCCCCAAAGCAATTTCTCCAGGCCTCCTCCCCTGTCCTCCACCTTCCCCTCCCCGCAGCCCGAGGCTGGACTGGGCTGGACAGGACCAACAGTCAGCTTGCTGCCCACCTCACCTCTGGACTCCCCGCTCCCCGCCGGCCCTTCTGATGTCTCCTGTTGCTTTTACTTCTCCTGCAAGTTCTGTCATTTAAACCCCCCTAATTTAATAGGTTTGTCTCATTATTTTGATTAATCATATTAACTCATGTTAATTAAGAAAGAGATTTAAGCAATGACAGAGGTTAATGGAATCAGCCCGTGTTCTTCTTTGCCTTTTGTTGGGGCCACTGACAGGCATGGGGGGAACAAGAGGGGAAAATGGGAAACAGCACATCAGCAGGACCAAGCCCAGGACGAGCCAGCAAGTCTGCAAACTGGGAGGGGAGAGAAAGGTATCGAGGAGACGATCAGTTACCAATTGGAGTTTCCTGTTAATTGAATGTCTGATTTTATTAATGATTTTATTAATGTCTGAATTTATAAAAGTCCTTAAGAAAAGAAAAGAATTTAGTCAGTTCAGCAGTTAACTGTGAAAATTAATGCCGAGGATATAAGTTAACATGGCCATTTTATTTGTCTCCCTTTTTTTCCCTAGTTGTGGGGATGAAATTGGGCGCATCACCTCAGAGGTCTTTTCCATCTCTGGGTTCTTTATGTGGTGCTGAAGAAGCAGGCGGCTGGGCCCACAGCCTCAACCTGACTCTATTAGAAACAATAAACACACCTACTGTGTTCCAGGCTCTGTGCTGAACAGCTTAAATGCAGCTTTTCATTGAATTCTGTAACAACACGCCAAGGTCCCCTTTTCCAGTGGAAGAAGCTGAGTCAGAGATGCTGTGTCACTCGTCCAAGGTTTCAGAGTCTGAGAGCCTCGGATCTGGGTGAACGCTTTGGGGTCAGGGGCTGCTTCTGTCTCATCATGATGACTTCAGGTCTTGGGAGGAGCTGTGACATCCTGGCACTGGTCCTGTTGGAAAGGACCTTATCTGGAGAACTTGGAAGGAGGTCGAGGCAGGTGCAGGTGCAGGGCTTTGCCTCAGCTGACAAGCACTTTTCTCCCTGTCTTCCAAGTTGTCCCGGGGCCAAGAAGGGTTGGTGTTACGGATTGAAGTGTGCCCCACAGAAACATATGTTGAAGTCCCCAACCCCCAGAACCTCTAAATGAGACTTCATTTGGAGATGAGGTCTTTGCAGATGTTATCAAGGTGAGGTCATACTGCATTAGGATGAGCCCTAATCCAATGTGGCTGGTGCCTTTATGATAAGAGAAGAAGGGTCACAGACACGGACACACAGAGACGATGACTATGTGAGGAGGAGGCAGAAACTGGAGTGATGCTGCCTCCGGCCAAGGAATGTCTGGGGCTACAAGAAGCTGGAAGGGACAAGGAAGGAGGCTTCCCTGGAAGTGTCAGAGGGAGCATGGCCCTGATGACACTTTGCTTTTGGACTTCTAGACTGTAGAACTGTTAGAGAATAAATTTGTTATGTTTTGAGCCAGTCCATGTGTGGTCGTTTGTTCTGGAAGTTCTAGGAAACTAATGTACTTGCAAAAGCTTGACTGAACGTGAATCTCTTTGACTTGTTGGCTGAAGCTTCTTCAGCTTAAGGTTTTGATCCCAGTTAAAATGCAGAAAATGCTCTTCAGGCCACCATCTCTCCTCTGCAGATAATCGCAAAGAGGGGTGATGGGTGGTACTTCTTGGGGTCACACAGCGCACATGCAACTGATGCTCAGTGTAACCTTGGTCCAAGCTTACCTGGCACAACCCTCATCGTGACTGCTGGAACACCTGGTTCCCAAACATGAACCCAAAATTTCAGGGTGCCTAGCTTGTGTGCTTTTCTCTCAGAGCCTTGGGATGTAAATGAACTCTTTATGGCTTGTAAACTAATTATTACTAGGGTGTAATAATTCCCCCTGCTGCATGATGACAGACATCACCAAGAGGTCACAACACACTTTTCTGCTAAGCCTGTGAGTGAGTGGCCTCAGAATTTAGCAGTCCGACTGATCAGAGTTGGGAATATTCATTTATCCATTCAATAAGTGTTTAGTGCCTATTAGGGCCAAGATTGGTGCCAGGTGCTGGATATATTTTGGTGAACAACACAGACAGTCCTGCGGTCTGGAATAAACTTTTGTGTCATCCCTGACCAAGTGAGAAGCCCACTCACTTGGAATCAGGAATCCCACTGCTTAGACCATGCACATGACTGGTGTCAGTTTCCTTATGTGTAAAACGAGAAGGTTAAGCTAGATTACTTCTGTGGCTCTTTCCATCTCTAAATTCGAAACTCTACATCTGAAAAGCGGACTGAAGACCTACTGTGTCAACTAACACCCAAATCTCCAGTGGTTAGAACCCCAAGCAGATAGGGGTTCTTTGGGCAGGGGAGACATTTGAGAATAGCAGAGACCTTTGGCAAAGACCACCGATCACACCCAGACAAGACAGTGCCTTTACCACCTGGAGACAACCCCCTCCCCACCCCCGCCCCTGCAAGTCAGCAGGCAGCCTCCCTTGTCTGAGCTCAGAGACAAAGGATAGGCAAGAGGGAATTCCATGTATGACTTGAAATTGGGCACAAATTAGTTCTTGGCTTCAACAAAATCAACTGAGCAAGCAGAACTGGAAAAACTGTGACTTAGCTGCAGCAAATATGAAAAAAAGATTAAGGTGGTTGTCAGCTCAGTATGAAGCCATTGGGATCTTAACCTGCACTGATAGAAATAACATCCAGGATAAAGGAAACAAGGGTCATTTGATCTACTGTGCCATTCTGACTGTTCCTGGGATGCTATATTCACTTCTGAATCCCGTATTTTAAAAGAGAAGCGGGGGTATGAATTAATAATTAGATATTTACTACAAGTGTTTGGCACTTAACACCCATCATTTCATTTTAATCCTGACAACACCTCAATAAGACAATTACCACTCATTTTGCAGATGGAGAAATTGAAGTAAACCAGTTCTCAAGGTGTCTCACCCATTTAGTGGTGGCGTTGGGACTGGAATTCATGTTCATCTGACTCCAAATCACACGGTCTTTCTGTAGACAATAATGACCTTGGGAAAGAGAGAGGTCACTTCCAGAGGGCTACTCTAAGGGTGAGGCAAAGTGGGAAGGGATGCCAGACTTAAGCTTGGTCTTAAAGGAGGGATAGGTTAGAAAAAATTATGTGTGTGTGGGAAGGGTCATGCAGGAAACATGCTAGGGACAAAAGAAAGTCAGTAGAGGCTTAAAGATGAGAATCTGGGAGGGGTATCTGGTGAGTGGGAGGTGAGAAGACTCACATTATTTGTGGGGGGCAGAGGCAGTAGACAAGGATGGACAGTTTTAGTCCAGATTACAGAAGGCTTTGAATGTTAGGTTAAGTATTACAGACTTTGTCACATTTCTAATGGGGAGGTAATAAAGACTGAATAGTGCTTGAGGTTGGAGTGTCATGCTAAGGCCTGGGCTTCAGGAAAATAATCTGTTGGTCACATCCATTGTGGATAGACTATGGTAAGCAGAAGGTAATGTGACAAGAATAAAAGATAATTAAACTGTTTGTATTTGCAATCTTTCCTATTTTCTTTATTTCCCAAGAAGGAATTATTCTTTCTCTGAACAATCAGTTATCTTTTAAATAAATAAAACTAGATAAAACAGAGTTCTATGTTTACCTAAATATTTACCACCTCCAGCAATTTTCTTTTTTCCACATAGTTCTTGAGTTTTCATCTGATATCATTTTCCTTTGGCCTGTACAAATTCATTTGACTTTTCTTGCAGTATAGATCAGTGTTTATTTGGGTGAAAAAGCATTTTTTTCTTCATTTTTGAAGGATATTTTCACTGAATATATAATTTAAATTACAGATTGACAATTTTTGTTCAACATTTTAAATATGTCGTACCATTGCCTTCTGACTTTTAGTGTTTCTGACAAGAAGTCTATAGTCATTCTTGTCTCTATACCCCTGTGTGTAATAGATCTCTTTTGTCTGACTACTTTTAAGATTTTCTCTTTATAGCTGATGTTCAGAAAGTTGCTTACAGGTGTCCCAGTGTGCTATTTATTGTGTTTCTCCTGCTTGGGGATTACTGAGTGTTATAGGCTGAATGCTTGTGTCTCCCCTGATTCATATGTTGAAGCCCTAACCCCCAATATGATAGTATTAGGGAGTGGGGTCTTTGGGAAATAATTAAGTTTAGATGAGGTCATGAGGATGGAGCCCCAGTGATGGAATTAGCACCCTTGTAAGAGGAGGAAAAGACACCAGATCTTCTCTCTCCATACACACACAACAAGGAAAGGCTATATGAACACACAGCAAGAAGGCAGCTGTCTTCAAACAAGGAAGAGGGTCCTCACCAAGAATTGAGGCTGCCAACATCTTGATTTTGGACTTTTCAGCCTCCAGAACTGTGAGAAATAAAGTTTATTGTTTAAGCCACCCAGTCTGTGATATTCTGTTATAGTGGCCTAAGCTGACTAAGACACTGAGCTTCTTGGATTAGTGGAGGTATAATTTCCATCAAATTTGGAGAAATTTTGACCCCTGTTTCTTCAAATACATTTTCTCCCTCTTCCCACTTTTGGAATTTCAATTGCATACATATTTGACTGCAAATGATATTTTCCCACAGGTCACTAAGGCTCTGTATGTGTGTATATATATAACTTTTTTCTTTCTGTGCTTCAGGGTATATAGTTTCTACTCCTATATCTTTAAATCTTTAATTCTTTAATTGTTATATTTTATAACCTTTTTTTCTTCTGAAGTATCTAATCTGCTAAACAGGCCACCCAATGGATTTTTTATTTCAAATATATTGCTTAGTTCTAGAGGTTCCATTTAGTTCATTTTCATATCTTCCATTTCCCTCTCCATATTCGTGTTTTCTTTTTAAATATTTGAGGATATTTATAATAGCTATTTTTTTCCGAGGTTTTTTTTTAAATTAATTAATTAATTAATTTTTGGCTGTGTTGGGTCTTCATTTCTGTGCGAGGGCTTTCTCTAGTTGTGGCAAGCGGGGGCCACTCTTCATCGCGGTGCGCGGGCCTCTCACTATTGCGGCCTCTCTTGTTGCGCAGCACAGGTTCCAGACGTGCAGGCTCAGCAGTTGTGGCTCACGGGCCTAGTTGCTCCGTGGCATGTGGGATCTTCCCAGACCAGGGCTCGAACCCCTGTCCCCTGCACTGGGAGGCAGATTCTCAACAACTGTGCCACCAGGGAAGCCCCTATAATAGCTATTTTAAAGTCTTTTAAAACCCATCATCTCTTCATTTCTGTGTCTGTTTCTATTGGCTTTTTTCTTTTTCTTGGTTATGGGTCACATCCTTGCTTCTTTGAATGCCTAGTAATTTCTGAATGGGTACTGGATGCTTTGGATGTTACATTGTTTAATGTCTGGATTTTATTGTCTTCCTTTAAAGAGAAGAGAAGTTTGTATTGGTAGATTTGTGGTTTTTTGGGTTTTGGGGTTTTTTTGCGGTATGCGGGCCTCTCCCTGTTGTGGCCTCTCCCATTGCAGAGCACAGGCTCCGGACGCGCAGTCTCAGCGGCCATGGCTCATGGGCCCAGCCGCTCTGTGGCATGTGGGATCTTCCCAGACCAGGGCACGACGCCGTGTCTCCTGC